TTTCGTAAGATGAAGCATTCGTAAGTAGAGGTACCACTGTATATTTAATTGGATTTATTTTTTTGGCATTTGTTAGAAAAGGAAAACAAGCCGCCTTCGCTTTCAACAGGGACTACAGCTGCAAGACAATGTAGCGTTATCCGAATCACAGAATCTGCCATGCTTGCTAGCCATATATTCTGTATATGCTTTGTAATACTGGATAATGGGATATGCTACACAATTGGGTGGAAATATTGTTTATCTTCTTTGGAGCTAGGCTAATGAGCCAATGTGAGGGGAGGAAATATGCTCTGTGAGCTATCAAGATCAGTTCAGTAGGAACACTTGGTTCAGAGAGGAAAAAGAGAGATAGTCCTGGAAAGAAGGTTTTGCTTTGAAGTCGAATGAGGGCTAAGCATGCAAAAATGCTTGTGCTTTTAATATAGTGTGTAACTAACAAGTGCTTCAGTTCTGACAACATTGTTATGCTGTGAACAACTTTAGTTTTCTGAATTAAGTTTTCTGAACCTGCTTAAGCTTGTGTTTTTTTAAACTGAGTTTAGGAAGTACATGACAGGCAAAAATTATGGAATTAATTATGTGATTCAAGACCACTGAAAAACCCCACTAAGTGGGCAAAACCAAATGGGGCAACATCCAGACATGGCTTATCAGTACAGTAACCACCAATTTTACTTCTAGCTATAGTGGCACAAAAGACAAGAACTTCTATGAGCAAGAGCATCTGCCAGATAACTGGGGGCAATGCAGTAGCACTTCCACACTCCAACAGACCTTGCTGAACTCTTCCTAGCTTCATACCCCCAAATAATATTCTCATACAATGGCAAGAACAGCCCTGTTGATTCAGACCATGTGTGCCTTCCTACCCAGCATAATGTTTCTAACAGTGCACATCAGTCATATGACTCTGAAGAGCATGAGCTAGTCAGGAAGCAGACATTAGTTTCCCTTTTTAGCTTCTATTGTTCCTCTGATGTCATCATTGTTACTTGAGTCCAAATTTTACCAATGATGCCATAACTACATGCATCCATGGAGCAGCCCTATATGGAAGAGAGTTACTGGTCCACATACCCCACCAACATGGGGGAAGAACAAAAGATACATCCAGAATAAGGAAAGATACTGATCACAGTGATTGAACCATATCAAGAGAACATTCCATATCAAGGAACTGTTCTAAGTTTAGAACAGAGCAGTAAGGAACGGGAAAAGCATAGTACATATTATTGGTATTATGGACTGTTCTCCAGCCGTGATTTACCGCAGTAAGCAGAGTTAAGTGGGGTGGGGAGAGAAGGTCATTTTGCTTAAAATAAGTAGCTTGTCAGGTTGGGAGCCAACAACACCAACAGCTGTGTGAGAAGAATTTAGAAAAGAAGGGCACAACAGCTGTAAACACCATGGTGACTGATACATCTGACACATCAAAGCTGACATGGTGCAGTCCCTGCCACCCCTGTACCAAATTCCAACATGACCC